TAAACTAGCAACAGGTATGTTACTGTTTGAAGAAAAAATCAAACCTTACCGTTATTTCGAAAGAAAAAACGGCGGGGCAGATTACAATATTAACTGGTGTGTTAATATTTGTTCAATTCTTCTGCAAAGCAAAAAAGTAACCGTGAGTAAGTCTGTGGACCGTTAAGCTAGCCCGGCTACTGATATTCGAGATGTGCTCTGAAGCGAGAAGAGGTGTTTGAATGACGCTGCGACGTAGCGCAAGCTACTTAAAGGGTGGGTGGATTCCCTGACGTAGACGTCAAGATCACCAGCCAATCAGGATTGGCGTAATGAGATTGATGCTTCTGTTTGCATACGCGTTGAGGCGCATCCCATAGTGAGACATCGAACGGAGTGTTATGAATGAGAACCGTAGCCTTATACTACAGACTGTTATTTTGAGTTGCTCGACAATGTATCCTAGCAGTACCCAGCATATGCAATGTTTAGTGGAACATATGCACAATAGCATAGGGGCCAATAGTTTAGGGAAGGATTAGCAATTGTTTTGCCTTCATTAACCGTCACAAGAATCTGAGACGGAAATGAAAACCTTGCTGATGCAAATGATATACGATACAGAATAACAGCACACAAGCTGGCAGTTTAAACTCTGACTATGTCAATAACTTGGAGAAAAACAATCTTTAAACCATGCAAGTACAAACACTAACTCTGTTATGCTTGTCACAGAAAGAGGCTCTTCACAAGACACACCATTCAAATGTCCTCATTCATTATTCATTGTGCCACAAATGTACAGTTCCAATTTGAAGTTAGTTATAGTTTTATACTTACTGTATATCAAACTGCAGGTGACATTTTTCAAATTGGACTTCCTTTTGTGTCATTTTACATACCCTTTCAAATAAAACTGCTCGTACAAACATTTAAGCTTTTTATCTATAGCGCAATCATGATTTTGTCATCTTATAATACCATTTTGTTTAAACCTGGTCTACTGTATAGCAAACTAATTTTGCTCACTTTTATTCTAAAAATGTACTTTGTGCGCTGTATGATCAGCTGCTGAATCATGATGACAATATGAAAACAACGTAGTGTGTCATAGTGTTGATATGGGATCAGCCTTTGGCCTGTGGAGACACTGTATGCTGGCTTTATTTATTTTATCACCGGCCGTGATGTGCCATCTCCACACAAAATGATCCATATAACCCAACTGAATCATAAAGCCAGTTTCATACAAAGAGAAATGAGTAACAGAAAGCCAGATGCAGTATGACCTTCCTGTTTCCAGCTGGGACTTTAGACAGCTTTATAATGTATTTCATTGCCATGAAATCACCATAACATGAGTTGAACTGAAAAAGATTTGATTCAGCCATGAAGCCAATAGTGGTACATTTTACCAGACAATTATGCTTTCATGGCAAATTGAACAAATCTATAAATCAGATTAAATGAGAGTCAGTTATCATAACAAACACTAGCAGTGTGGATAAAAATGTAGCCCATGTTTTTAATTTATCCTCATTGAGTATACAAAAAATGACAAACCCATCAGCATCAGCTGTACTTTGTGGTTAGGGCTAATTAGCAGGGCCGTTTCTTCCTATATGCGGACTATAGGGGGCCCCCAAGCTGAAAGTGTTTTTTTTTTTTTATTCATCCGAAAAACAAAAAAAGTTTAATTCATACACACAAAGATGAACAAAATTAGTAGAAGCGGGAGGGCTGAAGCATAGCTTGTAGAAAGTAGCCCTCCCGTGCATCATCCTAATACAGCGGCATTATTGCGTCAAAAACGTATAGAAATGAAGGAGTACAAAGAAATAAAGAAAACAGGAGAACAAATTAAATAAAAGTTAGGACAGGAAAACAATAAATGCATATATACGAAAACTAGATATAGGGTCATTTTCTGCACATGTCAATAGCAGTTTCAGCTATCTTGTTTTGGAAATTAAAATACTATATATAAATATATACATAGGTACACATGCACTTGGCAAATGAATAATAATAATAATAATATATGCGTAATTGCATATAAACATTGTGAACACAAGTGACTTTTTTTACATTCATATGTTCACGCTGTGGTTTGGAACTGCTTTTGAATGTTATTAGGCATTTTGTTATGGAAAATGTTGTGCATAATCAGTACTGTTTTAAGCTGTACTATCTCAACACATTTTAATAGATTGAGTTTTTTTTAAATATGGGAGTTGTGTGTTCATATTTACCAACACCACAGACTATTCGTAATAGACGTTATTATTTTTTGTAGATTTGTTGAGTACGTGTTTCCCCATATTTCGGAGCAGTATTAAAGGTAAGGGAGAAATAGACTGTTATAAAGAGTATATTTTCTTCAAGAATGTTCTTAGTATGATACAAAATACCTATTGTTTTTGACAGTTTTAGTCTGTACATAATTTATATAGTGCTTCCAATTGAGTTTTTCATCAACAAGCAGTCCTAAAAATGTACATGCACCAACTTTTTCTATCTTTGTGTTGCAAATCCGTATAATGCAGTCATTTCTACTCTCAGACTTTGTATTGAATAACAAGGGATAATTTATTAACTGCAAACCAGTTACATAGTATTTTTAATTCTGCATTCACAATTTTAACAAGAGCGCCAAGATTATGATGGGAGCAGAGAATTCAAAGTTCAGGTTCAGCCTCAATATATTTGGGGAGAATTCAAATGAGCCGTCTTTATTTGTAGACAGCCAAGCCCCCTCCTGTGAGTGTTCGGTGAAGCATTATATGCTTACAAATCCAATGTAGGATATAAACACGACTAAACTGCAATGATAGCAAAGCTGTGGCTTGGGTTTTTGGGGTAATAAAGTCCAAATCATTGTTGGGCTGACAGCTGAGAAAATGCTGCATCTCTTGCATTTATTGACATAGAGGAGCCTTATTGTTTACCTTTTTAATATCATTTTTTGTAATTTTCAATTGCTTGGTTTTCGTGAAATTAGCCTGTTTTCCTATTAAAGTGTAACAGATTGATGAATCTCCACAGATCATCTTAAAGGCTTCGGAATCCCCCCCATTGTAGTTAAAAAAACTGTCAAAACTAGGGCCCCCAAACAGCATCTTGCATAGGGCCCCCAAATAGCTAGAAACGGCCCTGCTAATTAGCATGCGTTAGCTAGCTAAAATACTAAAATAAAATGGTTAGCCTGGTAAAAGTGACACCAACATTCTTACCAGAAGCTTCTAAATGCTGAACATGTACTTGCTAGCATTTTTATTTTAGGCATGTTAGCATGTTGCCGTTAGCATTAGCTAACCAAGCCTGAGTCTGACCGTCTGACCCAATCCTTCACTGAGCCACTAGCATGACTCTTAATGTTGTCCTCTGCTGTTTCTGTGTGACTTTTCTTTCTCCCTCCTTGTCAGGTGACATACATAATTGATAGAAAACTAGCTTAGCAATTGTGTATAGCCATCCAGGAGGTTTTTAGCAAATGATTTAATAATGTCAACTCTATATTAACAGCTGCCTGCTACAGTGTAACTAGTTGACAGGCCTGCTATTACATATTTGCTTACACTTCCTCCACAACAAAGCCACAAGTCAACTTACAAAACAGTCTACTGTTTAAATATGCAATGTTCTGAAATGACAGCGCTGACCTTATCAATAAACATTTCTGCACTAACTAGTAGAACACTCTCACAGGCAATTCAAGCTGTAGAGGAATGGGAAATAGAAAAAGCAATTTCTAAATGTGACTGCAATGCCCTATAAAGATTAGTACAAAAAAGTATTCAGTTCAACCAATACCTCAAGTAATAAAAACTCAGAGCCTACAGACATTAGTGTCTGCAGCTTTTAAAATATTGACTTCTCAGTCATGTGATTAGTTTTTACTAGGGCTGTCAAGTTAACGCGTTAATAACGCGTTAACGCAAAAAAAGATTAACGCCACTAATTATTTTAACGCGATTAACGCATGTGTATTTTTTTTCCTCGGCCGCCCCGTAGTTTCAGTGCGCATCGAGTTTAAAATACCATCTACAAGCTGATGCTGACAGCCCCGCTCCTGCCGCCCGCTTGTGGCAGACCACACTTCCACGCTCACCGGCAGGCACCGACTGGCTATTGGGAGGACCGGGAGAGTGTGTGTATGTGTGGCTCGAGCGAGCGAGAGAGAGACCTTACGTGCATTGTTGTTGTTAGCATCTGGTGCTAGCTAGCTGCGCTAACAGATATAAGGAGCTGCTTAAATGAAAACAGAGGAGCGACATTTCGCCGACAACTGCGCCGAGCACTTGACTTTATGCAGGCAGCCAGACAGTGGGACATTGTACGAGAAGTCAGCACACTCAGCACGGATAGTGCAACATGATTGCAGCGTCCAGGCAGCTCCCGGTCGAGCATATGCCTTGAGTTGCACATAGCTCCAACGATCCATCTCACACACACACACACACACACACACACACACACACACACACACATACACACACACACACACACACACACACACACACACACACACACACCCACACACACACACACACACACACACACACACACACACACACACACACACACACACACACACACACACACACACACACACACACACACACACACCATTTTTATTGTATTAGGTTCCAGGTTGAATTGAGGCGAATATTTGTAATGTTCAGAAGTTGTTGTGTCTAATATTCATGAGAATATTTGTCATTGTTCAAATGATAATAAACATTAGCAAAAAGCATATTTGTCCACTCATATGTTGATAAGAGTATTAAAAACTTGAAAAATATTCCTCTAAGGTACATTTAAAACAGATAAAAAATGTGCGATTAATTTGCGATTAATCGCGATTAACTATTTTAATCGACTGACAGCCCTAGTTTTTACACTTTTTTGTTTCTGGGTGACCCCAATATTATAAAACCCATTTGTTATAATTTGGTACATCAGAGCAATAAAAGAAGAACAGTATCTGTCTCTGAAGCATAGCATGTTTTTCACTCCAGGTGACGTACCCAGTGCGAGTCTTCTACCTGCTGGGCGTGGAAACTCTGATTGTGACAAACGCAGCGGGGGGGCTCAATGGTTGCTATGAAGTTGGAGACATCATGCTCATTAAGGATCACATCAACATGCCAGGCTTTGCAGGGCAGAATCCGCTCTGTGGGCACAATGATGATAGGTACAGCAGCACAAACACAAAATGAAACAACATCTGTCTTTGTTGAGTGATATTTATACATTGCAATGTCTGTCCAGGTTTGGAGTGCGTTTCCCTTGCATGTCTGATGCCTACGACCGCGAGCTGGGCGCTCTGGTCAAGCAGACAGCAAAGGAGCAGGGCTGCGACAGCTTCCTGCAGGAGGGAGTTTACTGCATGCTGGCTGGACCGGCATACGAGACTGTTGCAGAGTGCAGAGCCCTGCAGATGCTGGGGGCTGATGCTGTGGGTGAGTACAGCTCTCTGCTCACTTAAGGAATACTGATGCGTTGTGGGACCTCCTGTTAACAGTGCACCTACAACAGCTTACTAGGGATATTCAAATCAATATGAATTCATCTGATAAGAACAGATAATGTGCTCTAAACAGATACACACAGCATTTACATTTTGTAGAAGTATTCCCCGTAAGCAGGCAGCATGACTAAATATAAACAAAAAGGCTATAGTTATAAATATTATTCCTATTATGAGTATGATATTGTAATATACAATACTACACTATGCAGTACTATACTATAAATTACTAAACTGTACGGTGCTATACTATACTATGCAGTACTATGTGTTACTAAACTATAACATACAATACGTTACTATACTATTTTATGCCATATTATACTATACAGTACTAAACTATACTCTGGATACTATACTATGTTATTCTTTGTTATATTATATGCTATGCTATGCAATGCTATGCTATGCTATGCTATACTATACAATACTATACTATTTAATACTATAATATACTATGATGTGAGTGTACCTCTAACAGAGCTCTCCTCTCTGCAGGTATGAGCACGGTGCCAGAGGTGCTGGTGGCGCGTCACTGTGGTTTGCGTGTCTTGGGTCTGTCCCTCATCACCAATAAGGTGGTGACAGAATATGACAGCACAGAGAGGGCTAACCATGAGGAGGTGCTGAAGACCACCGAGCGCAGAACCCAGGACCTCCAGAGGCTCGTCAGCCACCTCATCACCAATATCTAGTCCGTTCAGCCTCTAGTACCTTTAAGTAATCGGTGACTCATCTTAGCTTTGAATAAAAGGTAACAATAAGGTGCAGATGATGAACTGGGCAAGAATGTGAGTTTACAGTAGTTATAGTTTTGGTTAACTGGGGGAGTGAGGGAGAGGGCTTTAAGAGCAGAGTAAAAAGAAGAATGACAATTGTAAAAGCTTGAAATGTGCACAGAATTTGCCGAATGTTGACACGTGTCAACTTTGCTCTCAGTGCAAGATGTTCAAAACCCTGGATATTGTCCCATGAATTACATTCATGGAGGCCTTATAGAATATATTTCTGACAGCAGACTCAATTTTGATTTACAAAGCTATCATTTCTAAAACTTGGCCAATGAGCCGTTAATCTAAACGTTTTAACAGAAAGCAAGGATTGGCTTTACTATGTTTTTACGTTTTGTTTTTTGTTTTGTTTTGCACTACCATACCCTCCGAGGAATATAATGAGAATAGGCGAGAGATTACCAGACATCTACATAAATAAGATATCCGAACTGTGAAGAACCGATGTTTGAAGATAGTTTGAGTTAAACCACGGGTGGAAAAAAATCATAGTTTCAAGTAGGGTTGCTCAACAATAAGTGGAACATAAATCATGAAACCTGGAAACCAGATTTAGGATAATGTAATTTCCTGAGTGTCTCTAAAACCTGTAGGTGACATAATGACTTTTGTTGTGTGTTCCAAATATGGGGCAAAGCCTGCGAGCTAGTTCAGGCAGTCAACTCGAGCACTTATGCTGCATTCATACATAACGCCCCTTGCCACTCTACAACCAACCAATCAGAGTCCCCTTAATATGCCACTCTATTTATCCTGCCAGATCTCTCTCCATGCATTGCTTGCTGCTGCTTGCCTGCCCTACCACCTCCCCAGCTTCCACCTGTCGCCAAACTCAACTATATGCTGCTTCTAATACACATGTTAAAGAAACACGTGAGTTGTCTGACTGAACCACTATTGTGGCGGTTACTGATTATAGTATAGCATTCCCTTATTTAAAACGACCATGTTCTCATATATCCCAGTTCATGGATCAATACATGTAAAAGGAATACACCGGTATGTATTTCTACCCTGCATTATTGCTGCAGGGTTGTTTGGGTTTTCCCTTTATGGTACTTCCTGTTATGGTTATACTGGCAGCATAGTGAAACCTCTCTGATGGCTGATATTTAATCACAAAACATTATAATTAATATAATATATATGTATGGTGAGTTTATGCTGCTCATTACTAGTCAAAACATAAAAACCTTGAGAAATACTGGGATAATTGTGACATGGCCGTTTTTATGATCATTTTCTTAATTACGACTCAGCGAAATGTTTTTTTGTTTTATCTTAACTGGGTCATTGAATGATACCCTCCATATTTGTTGTATCAGCAAATTGCTGTATGTCTTATTTGCCTTAAGTGAGAGCAATGTATGCAACTACCACCTATCAATGCATCATTTACTAGCTTAAGACACTGCACTATGCGTTTCCCTTGAATTATTGGTGCACAATGCACATATAGAAGCAACTTCTCCAGTACTGTCTGAGAAGTTAATCCACATGATCAAAAATGCTAATAAGAGAGAATATGGAATAATTATTGGGAACAAATAGTATTAACTGGCACCTGATTCCTTTATTTTGTGATTGATTGTTATAAAAAATGTACAATACATAGTTATTTTAGCTATACAAGTGAATATATATATACACTGGGATCAAATCAAAGGTGTTTATTTTTTAAGTAGACAAATTATGTATTTTAAATCATGTATTATATATATGTATTATGAGAAATGATGGCATGACAAATGAAATGACATTTTTGGCTGAATCAGTTTCTGAAACATTATTATCTGAAAGAAATACCTAATGTAATGGCTAATCTGGTCAAGCAGTAGTGATGTATGAAGGCTTTTCTTGGGTGGATTGCATGTGTTTTATTTGTACAGCAAGAGACCGCAGTACTGTAATATCAGGGAGGGCTATAATACGCAGTTTTCAATCTCCCCTGCGCTGATCTGGAACCTGCTGCCAGGTCCCCTTGACCGTCTCATTCATTAGTGCTGCAAAGGCCAGAAAAGTCCTACATCAGCAGTCTCCCTCTTAGACCATTTGTTTTAGTCTTCACATCAAGATGCTAATGGAAGAAGTCTTAAAGGGGGATTTCCATTTAGAGTGAATTCGAAATGTAAAATCTGGATCTGCTCCATACACAATAAAATAGGGAAACTCATAAGTCACATACCGGTAATTCATTTTTTAGATGCACCAGCATGCTCAATGTATAGGCACAACTCCAAATTGTGCATTCCGTATTCACTAGACCAAATAACCACTGTATACTGTGTTCAGTTGAATAATACTGTTCAGATTAGAATCTAATAAAGGATTAACCCAATATGTGTCTATTGACAAAATACAATTTATTTTCATACCAATTGTTGGTGCTTTCAAATAAAAACGTTCAAATGAAACTTGGATGCTGGTATTTTCTGTTGTGGATGAGTTCATATTGTGTTTGTGTGTGAAAGAGGGAGTGTGAACTGAGAGGTTATGTCCCCAGAAGCAATCAGTTTGGATGTTTTCAAGGAAAAAAGGAGTTTCTCTCAGCGATAATGATGATCAGTGAAGAGGGTGATATGTGCGAAAAGCAAGGAGATAAAAGAGAAACACTCACACACACCTCACCGACACATCCACTCTCTTTTCCCTCCCTCAATCCTTCACTTTAAGCATACCTCAAACAGACGAAGACGCTGTGAGATTGAGATGAAGTGGAAATGGCTGTTCCGTGCCCAGCTTTTTCTCTGTTACATAATTCATCTACATACAGCCTAGAGGTACAGCCCCACTGTGGGGCTGAAATATTAATACAAATGAACCAGGCAGCTCAACAACACAAACACAACACCTTAACTGGGCTGGTTTGTAGTCACACACATCAACACAGATGCCTCACAACTCCGAAAATTGAGTTGTCTACAAAGATATGCGTGTAGGATGCAAATAGCAGGCTCTCTGCTTTGAATGGAAGGAAGTGGTAGAGCAGACGCACAGATGAAGACAGACGATAGGAGTGACTAAAGAGAAAAAGAGAGGAGAATGAAGTGTGTTTGAGTCGGCAGTCCCCGCAGGCTGGCGACAGGCCTCATCTGTAATGTAATGTTGTCGCCGTGCCAACTGAGAGCCAGAGCCAGCTATTGATTATTATAGGGTGCAAAGAGAAGCTGAGGAAATAGAGCGGGACAGCTTTGCTGAGTTTACACTCTTAAACACTGTAACACACACAAGCTGTTCTCATGCATGCACTGTCATGTAGGCTACCTGATCTCACACAGTCTGTGAGATAGCAGTGCTACTGTTAGTGAATGTGACTTTTTACAAGTGTACGAAATAGCATCAATAAGGGAATGTCTCCGCTGACTTTCACACACTGCCTCCAACAGGAGTCGGGTGCCAGCAGTGTGTCAGCATTGTACTGGACCAGCATGCAGAGCGGATCTGGAAAATGACTTCTGCAATTTAGGGGAAAAGTGACAGTTCAAGTTCAACAATGCATCCTTATGCATGAGGGTGACAACTTGGCTTGGTCTGGATCATCTTAATCATTAGCCTACACTGGGTACGATTAAAGAAACATTAAGCATTATTAAAATAGCTTCAGTTTACCATAGGTTAATAATTTATGTAACAGTCGAAAATCATATATTTTAAAAGCAACCATTCAACATTGTTATTTTTGGACATACAGAATCAACTGGCAATATACAGTCATTGATATGTTTCATATAGCATATTTGTGTTACAGTTGCTGATAAAGCCCAAGACTGATAGCTTGCTGGTACTGTTTTCAATCAATCAATTAATGTTTATTTATATAGCCCAATATCACAAATGTTACATTTGTCTCAGTGGACTTCACAATTTGTACAAAAATATCAGTATGACAATACGACACCCTCTGTCCTTAGACCCTCACATCGTACAAGGAAAAACTTCCGAAGAAAACCCACAGTTTTAAAGGGGAAAATGGGAGAAAACCTCAGGGAGAGCAACAGAGGAGGGATCCCTCTCCCAGGACGGACAGACGTGCAATAGATGCCGTGTGTAAATTGAAAAGATAATACATTTGCAACATAGGTAGTCCAAATGTTTGGAAATGCATGTGTGTATAATAGGAAGATGAATCCACGAGGATATCCATCCAGGACCTATAATCCAGGACCACAGCCACGACTCAAGATCCAGGGCTCGCGATGCAGGACACAGGACCGCAGGATCATCCATGACTCCGGATCCCAGCGTATATACTGTAGACACCAAAAAGAAAGACATTTGGGGAAGCTGGGTTAATCGGAACATGAGAGTACACAGGTATAGACAGAGAGAAGGAAGAAGTATGATGTCCCCCGACAAACTAAGCCTATATCAGCAAAACTAGGGGCTGAATCTAATCAGCCCTAACTATAAGCTTTATCAAAAAGGAAGGTCTTAAGCGCACTCTTAAAAACGGATAGGGTGTCTGCTGCCCGAACACAAACTGGAAGCTGATTCCACAAATGTGGAGCTTGATAAGAAAAGGCTCTGGCTCCCATTGTACTTTTAGAGACTCTGGGAACAATCAACAACCCTGCATTCTTGGAACGCAATGCCCTAATAGGACAGTAGGGTATAATGAGTTCTTTAAGGTAAGATGGCGCCTGCCCATTAAGGGCTTTGTAGGCGAGAAGAAGAATTTTAAATTATATCCTGTGTTCTATAGGGAGCCAGTGTAAGGCAGCCAGAACAGGAGTAATGTGGTCCCTTTTCCTAACTCTGGTTAGTACACGAGCTGCAGCATTTTTGAATCAGCTGAAGCGACTTGACTGACTTCTTGGTTCACCCTGATAATAAAGAGTTACAATAATCCAGCCTTGAAGTAACAAATGCATGGACTAGTTTCTCTGCATCGTTTTGAGGCAAGATATGCCTGATTTTTGCAATGTTACGTAGATGGAAGTAGGCGGTCCTTGAAATTGATTTTATGTGGGCGTTAAAGGATAAATCCTGATCAAATATAACACCAAGATTCTTTACAGTCTCACTGGAGGCCAAATTAATGCCATCCATAGTTAGTATATCTTTAGATAATTTGTTTCGTAGATTCTTCGGGCCAAGTACAATAACTTCAGTTTTGGTCGTGTTTAACATCAAAAAGTTTAAGGTCATCCACGTTTTTTAAGTCCTTGAGGCAGTCTTGAATTTTATTTAGATGATTAATTTCATCAGGCTTGATTGATAAATATAGTTGAGTATCATCCGCATAACAATGAAAATGTACAGAATGATTCCTTATAATATTGCCTAACGGAAGCATATATAATGTGAACAAAATAGGTCCGAGCACTGAGCCCTGTGGCACTCCATGGCCAACTTTGGTTTGCGTGGAAGATTCATCATTGACACGTACAAACTGAGAGCGTTCAGATAGATAGGACCTAAACCAGCCTAAAGCAGTTCCCTGTATGCCAACTAAGTGCTCTAGTCTTTGCAATAAGATATCATGGTCGATAGTATCAAATGCAGCACTGAGATCGAGCAAAACAAGAATAGAGACAAGTCCCTTGTCAGAGGCTATTAGAATGTAATTTGTGACTTTAACCAGAGCTGTCTCCGTGCTATGATGTGTTCTAAAGCCAGACTGAAAATCTTCAAATAAATCATTGTTTTTTAAGTAATCACACAACTGTTTTGCGACCGCTTTCTCAAGAATTTTTGAGAGGAACGGAAGATTAGAAATAGGTCTATAATTGGCTAAAACCTCTGGATCGAGGTTGTGCTTTTTAAGAAGCGGTTTTATCACTGCTACTTTGAATGATTGTGGAACATAGCCTGATAATAAAGACATATTCATAATATTTAATAAAGAAGTGCTAATTAATGGAAAAACTTCCTTCAACAGCTTAGTTGGAATTGGGTCTAACATACACGTTGATGGTTTAGAAGAGAGAATCATTGAATTTAATTATTCAAGGTTTATGGCTGAAAAGCATTCTAGTTTACTATCTAGTGTAATATTAGAACTTACGTTTCCGGGAGCCGTTGATAACACTATACTGGTCAAAGGCAAGAGGTCATTAATTTTATTTCTAAGAGTAACAATTTTATCGTTAAAAAAGCACATAAAATCATTACTACTGAGTGCTATGGGAATAGAAGGACTGTTTTGCGGGGACGTGTGAGCATTACAGAATGGAGAATGATAGTAACCAAGAAAGCACAGTTACATACATAGTAATTCAAATGTTTCTGTTTGGAAACAAAGTATGTAATATTATTTCATAAGCTTTGGAGTGTTTCCCCTGATTTCAGTCTTTATATTGCCTCCTGGTGCCAGCTACTTACTTAATGTGATTCATTTTCTATTCATTTAACTTTAGGAAAAAGCATTTAGACACATTTTCCTCAGGAGATGATATAAAGAAAATGAATGCTAAAGTTGCTTTGAGCTTGTTGGATCTGTTTGTTACATGTTTGTTCAGCAGGATAATCTCCACATATAAAAAAAGTGTTACGATTTTAAAAATGTAAATGCAATTGCCAGAAGTAAAAAGCTAGTGTTAGGTAACTACATCTCCACCGCTAAGCTAAAGGTGGCTAATGTTGACATGATGATGATAAGCAGTTTTAGCCACTTGTTAGCAACTGATGTTTTTATGACATGTAAAAGCGTGAGTTTTTTTTTTACAGATGTATTTTATGTTGTTGAAATCTATCCTTAAATATTTGTTAACCAAAGACCTTTCAGGCATCTAACCAAAATATTGCGCTGCCACTAGTGGCAAAACAAATTATGATTGAAATGTACTTGAGCTGTTATCATGTTAGGTAGAATGATTTTGAACAAAACCAACTACTCATTGATAATTGTCTATGTGGGGTTAAGTGTACTTGTTACATACTAACTAACATTAATTAATAATGACACATCCATTTGTCCTTGTCTTGACCTGTGAGTACTGTAAATTGAAAAATATAATTCATTTTCTTTTTGTTTTAAAATATGCCTTTAAACAGATTCCATCAACAGCAAGATTATGCTTCTAGGGATACTTGCCCTCCTGCTCATTACAGTCTTATGGCTTCATCCTGAATATTATCGTCTTTTGAAATAAATGAGATGAAGACATATATGAGTATTTTTTTCATCATCATTCTCCTAATAGAATCTGTGGCTTTGCCTAACCCCTCTGTGCAGCACTGGCCATTAATGAAAAAAAGTTCTTTTTCAGAATTTACATTTATTATGTGGGCTAATCACCGTTGGCTGTAGGCAGTGTGGGAAATGTGATTAGTGTGTGAGTTCTAATTAAGTCTGTGAAGCCTCACACACTGGCAGACAGGCTCGGGGAGCTGCACGCTTAGATACACACACAGATGTGGGGAGGAACACACACACAGAAACACAGGCAATAATTGTACAAGCATGCAGAAA